AAGAGAAGATTCTGTATCAGTGTAGGTCCATGATGTTCTGGAAAGACTTTACAGTGTAGGTCAGAGTACTGAGACTGGGAAGGCAGTAAATATGAGACTAGAGAATACTGTATAATGCATAATTTCAGAACTATTGACAATTAACATGTACATACATTGTGTCAATAAATTAATTCTGTGAAAAATGTTATAATAGTACTTTTAACCAGCTTACAGGACTTATACTGTTGTAGCAATAAATTATGATAAAATATCTCTTACATTCTAAGAGACTGATATTTCTGCTAGATCACACAGCCAGAGTGAACAATACACTTTGAAGTCCTTCGGACTGTGATCAACTGTGTACTCAGGCTGTTTAACCTTTCTTTAAGAGAATATTGTAACACCCAACCTTACTTGCCTAGGATTTCCAATATTATCACCTTTTACAAAAAGTGATAATACATAGCTCTAACCTAATTTTGTGTGCTCTTTCTTGTTCCTGACTGAAGACTAATGCATGAGTGTTTTTATGTGTTTTATGATAACCTTTTGCTGAAAACAGAAAATGTATGTTTAAGGCGCAAAACTACACAGAGAAACCCTGTCTCGAAAAACCAAAAATAAATAAATAAATAAATAAATAAATAAATAATTTTTTTGAAATGTGTATTCAGGGTTTCATAAAACAATATGCAGATGTTACTTGAAAAAAAGGAAATGTGTACTACTTATTTGAGTCAGCTGGAAAAAGTTATTAATCCATAGTGAAATTCTCTTAATTTTTTCTCTCAAATATCCCTTATTCTTTTCCCATGTGATGCTTTCTGTGATGTTCAACAAATACAGGGCAAAGATCTTTGTTAAGGACAGAGAGAGAGAGAAGGCTACAGAGGGAGGGAGAGGGAGAAGGAGAGGGAGAGAAGGAGAAAAGGCAAGGGAGACAGACACAGATTCACAGAGAGACAGAGATATAAGGAGACAGAGAGAGAGAGATGCAGAAGAAAAGATGGAGACAGATACAGAGATTCAGATCCTGCAACAGATACAACAGAAGGCAACACAGGAAGAGCCAAGTAGGGGATTCAAATCTGGACTTGCTCTTAGTTAAATGACATCAATGGAAATTGTTTGATTTCTTTCCCTAATGTGATATGGAAACAGTATTGATGAATCTGAGTTTATTATTAATGTGTTCCAATCAACTACAAAACTTACATAAATGAATTGGAGTTGAAGCATAATTAAGAGAAAGTCATAAACTATTGACTGTTACTAAGAAATATTCATGGTGTCTCAGCCATGAGACTCATTCAGAATATTGAGGAAAAAATGATGATAAGTTGTGCTGCTCTATGGGACCAGTTATATTAAAACATTTAATCCTGCAGAACCAGCTTAGGCTAGCACTACAGTCTCACCAAAGGAAAAGAAAGTCCCAGAAAAAACTGTCTTCCTACTAAATCACTTGCATCTTCTCTTCATACTTCCCTTCTGTATGTTAATATATTAATTGATTCTTAACCACAGAAGGCCTTAAAGAAGTTTCTCAGGCTGGACCATTATAGACAATGTTTCTAGTCACTAGAGAAGTATGACAAATCCTACACATGACACCCCACCATCATTCTCCACATAGAAAGATCTCAAAAATGATGTTGTAGAAAATGGGATTGAGAGTCATTTCCCTACAAGAATATAGATGTTATGGCAAATATCTATGAAATAATACCCTTAGCCTGACAAGCCCTTATACAAACAATTCCCACCACCCCTTAGTTTAGTCTGAGGATTCAGTAATGAATTAACAAATGCCTGTCCACTGCTACTCATAACCAAAGGCAGGGACCTGTATAAACATTACTTGTCATCAAATTATCAGACAAGGAAGCTTCCAAACAGTGGCCCAACAGCTTGTCAGCCCTCAAGTGGTTCACAACCAAAGCAGCCAAGCTGCTATCAGGGCTTGGAATAAATTTTCTGATATTAACACTCCCACAGGCATCTTTCCCACTATACACAGAAATCTACAGAGCCCTTTGTGACTTATTCCTTCATATGCAACAAGCTATAGAGCAGCAGCAGACAGATAATAAAGTAGTGTCTACCTTATCTCATTCATCTACTTATTAAAATTAAAATTTTAAGTGTAACAAGCTTCATTCTGAAGTTGATAATGCCTCTCATACTATTACTGATTTGATAAACGCATCTCAAATGATGGCACAGAGGAATATAAGGCTCAGATTCTGGCTTGTCCTTGTGGTCTCTTATGTGTTTCAAATGTGGAGGGAACAGGCCATTTTCAAAAATAATATAAACTAAAACTTGCTAATCATCCTCAGTATACTAAACCTCCCTCTAAAACACCTGAAAAATGTAATGCATTTTCACTGTTCCAGTCTGTATGGATGGTGGTGACAAAGAGAATCCAATTTCAGGAAACAGGGGAATGAGCACCCAGGGCTGCTGATGACAGGATCAGGTCTCTACATCCCCAGCTTTGGATCCCACTGCTTTTTCCCCAGGGGTATCTGAGCAGGAGCCCAGCTTGTTGCCAAAGTAGCACACTCCACACCCTGGGGACCCCACAACATGACACTCAGCTCCATCCCTTATCCTATAACAATAATAGATTTGATTACTACTAGCAAAAGCAATTCATATTGTAGCTAGAGTTTTCCTGCCTGGCCCACAGTCAGGACAAATCTCTCTCACCTGCCAGTCCCACAGCCGCTCAGACCTGACCAAGGAAACACAGAGACTTATATTGGTTACAAACTGTATGGCCGTGGCAGGCTTCTTGCTAACTGTTCTTACAGCTTAAATTAATCCATTTCTACAAATCTATACCTTGCCACATGGCTCGTGGCTTACCGGCATCTTCACATGCTGTTTGTCATCATGGTGGCTGGCAGTGTCTCTCTGACTCAGCCTTCCACTTCCCAGCTTTATTCTCCTCCTTGTCCCGCCTATACTTCCTGCCTAGCCACTGGCCAATCGGTGATTTATTTATTGACCAATCAGCAACACACTTGACATACAGAACATCCCACAGAGCTTCCCCTTTTCTTTTCTTTTCTTTTTTTTCAAAAAGGAAGGTTTTAACCTTAACAAAGTAAAATTACATATAATTTGGGAATTTGGGAGTAGCTTCTCTTACTACTTCCTGCTGGAGGGGGGCGCTGTGTCTTATGGGGACACAAAGAAAATTTTAGGATTATGGAATTGTCCATGAAGCTGTATTGTCTGAGCCAGTTGCCTTCAAACCATTCTGGATGTTGAATCATCTGGGCCATGGTGTCATTGGAGACCTTTCAGGGGGTCTTGGCTGGTCAAACCTGATGTATCTTAATCTGGAACAAATCCATAGACTCTGGCTTTCTGTGGGAACAAAAGCAGAGACTCTTTTCCAAAGCAACATATCCTGACATCCAAATTTTGAAGTCAAGGTATCTTTAAAATATGCATATTGGTTTAACTCAACATCTTTTATGATCTAATGTTTTTCTGCAGTTAAAAATCCCAAAGACAACACAATCCAGATTCTCTGTGTAATATTCATCTCTACGTGGCTTATTTTTTATATTAATTTTACCGTCTCTTTAAAGACTTTATTTTTTAAAACTATGTATTTGTTTATATAACTGTATATATCAACTTTTTTGTCTCTTTCAAGCCTACGTATCTTTTACACACATTATAAACTATTACATCTGAATCTGTCTTATTGTGAATCTATTGCTTTAAACTGCAGCAGCTGTGGCTGCTGGCTCCACCGACCTCAGCTTCCCAACATGGCGGTGGTATGTTTTCCACCAGCTCTGGGAGCTATCGTGGGTCTATGCTTTTATCCAAGCAGCGTGTAGCCCAAAAATCTCTTTTTTTTTTTTGTTTCGTACTAGCAAAGGCTAAATCCACCATGCAGCTTAATATGCCACTTGCAGAGGCCTCATTCCCGCCATACTGTAGGTCGAGCACGCAAGCTAGGAACCCACCACAGTAGCTCGAACCAGCAGCTGCCTCTCATTTGAGAGAGACAATTGGGAAGCTGATTTTAGCTCCGTTTTAGAATCTTTTTTCTCAGTTTTTAGGTGGAAACTCTTGCCAACATGTTGGGCACCATTTGTAGCTAGAGTTTTCCTGCCTGGCCCACAGTCAGGACAAATCTTTCTCACCTGCCAGTCCCACAGCCGCTCAGACCCGACCAAGTAAACACAGAGACTTACATTGCTTACAAACTGTATGGCCGTGGCAGGCTTCTTGCTAACTGTTCTTACAGCTTAAATTAATACATTTTTATAAATCTCTACCTTGCCATGTGGCTGGTGGCTTACCGGTACCTTACATCTGGCTTGTAAATGAACCACCACCATGCTCTTGCTATGGTTCTAATAGCTCTGACCCCCGGGCAACTTTATTTATTAACATACAATTAAAATTCCATTTCAGTACAAATAAAATGCCACCATATCATATATCAACAACTAAAGATATAAAATTATATTTCATGGAAGAGGTTAAATCACCTACCCCAAAATCTATGGGGACCCATTTCAACAAACTGCCTTTGCTTCTTTTAGGCCAACCAAATTGGAGTGTGAACGGGGCTTTGTTTGTGCATATGCTGTTGATATGTCTTTTACCTACTTAATTTATGCTGTAGCTTATTCTCAGCTACTACAGCAACAGTTTCAATCCCTTATATTTACGGGATATTTATATTATAATGTATTGCTACAGTTTGTACTATTTTAGTTTATTTAAAAGGAATCATGTCAAGGGAGGTGGTCACTGGTAAACAGCTGGTCAAGGTATGGAGCACTCTAAGATTCCTGAATCATCATCACTTTGTTCTCTGATCTTCTTTTGAAAAGCTGACAAAGACCCTATAAGATTGTGAAATGACAGACAAAGGGACACTCAGAATGATTATTTCTGAGCAAGTCTCCAGGCTAATCTTCTCTGTCGTCTCAGTCCCAGGGAAGCTTCCTGCTCCTCCAGGGTTTCTGACACATTCAGGATGTGGGTTGCAGCACTGTGTGTCTTGCACAGTAATAGACCGCAGAGTCCTCAGATGTCAGCCTGCTGAGCTCCATGTAGGCTGTGCTGGAGGATTTGTCTATAGTCAGTTTGGCCTTGCCCTGGAACTTCTGACTGTAGCTAGTTTCACCAGTTCCACAAGCAATAATTCCAATCCACTCCAGGCCCTGACCCGCCCTCTGCTTCACCCAGTGCATATAGTAGCTGGTGAAGGTGTAGCCAGAAGCCTTGCAGGACAACTTCACTGAGGACCCAAGTTTCCCCAGCTCAGGCCCAGACTGCTGCAGCTGGACCTGAGTTTTGACACCTGTGGAGAGAAAGACAGAGTAGATGTCATTGTCACCTCAGTCCATGTTCCCTCTTCAGGGTTGGAACTGGAAAACCCCTTACCTGTAATTATTGACACAAGGAAGAGGATGATCCAGCTCCATCCCATGGTGAGGACCTGTGTGCTCAGTGACTGTGGGTGAACACTGATCATATGTTGTTGAGGGGATTGTACATCCTTGTATTTATCACCATAGACTCAAGTAATTTGCATATTCATGAATAGGGTACTTTTAGATCAGGACCTAGTCCAGCTGGAGAAGAAGGTAGAGGACACCTCGGTTAGGCAACAGGATGCTGAGGGCACAAAAATATATGTATTTCAGTAATATTTACACAACAATAATCATTGCAGCAGCATCCCCTTATCTGAATTATGGAAATAAACTATGTATATGTCAACAGAGGTTTTCATCAAGAAGACATGTTTATATAAACAATGCAACGGTGTTTCATCTCCAAGGAATATGGAAATAACATCAGTTATAGAAAATGAATGTATCTAGAGATTATGTTTTAATTAAGAACATTTCAGAAACACAGACATTAAATGAGACTCTCAGTAGTTCTTAGATATTTCATACTTACATACAACTAGGAATACAAATACATGATGAAGTATAAGTGAAATTGTCTAGTAGAATAAAAGTAAAGTAGGAGGGAAAGGAAAATGAAGGGTAGAGATTATAGAGAAATATATGCAGTATACAAAATACATGTGTATAAAAATTCGAAACCCATGTAAAATTGTTATTTTTACATTGCATAATTTATAGTCTTTGAAATTTTAATCCATGATAAAATATAATATGATCATATGTACACCCACTATGAACCACTGGTTCCCCTTGGAACCATCAAATAGGTCTGTCTCCCAACTTCCTGACCTCTTTTGTTTCAACAACTAGTGACACAGTGAGTCCATCCAGTTCCATTTATATACACATAGATGCAGTCATTCACTAGTATATAGGAAACATTCCAAAGAAAATTGACTATGTTTTCGTTAATCATCATCAAATGCCAATAGATCCTCAGCTTGGTGTGGGTCCTCAGGAGTTTCTCTCCATCCATGTTATAGTTTTAAAAAATTGTTATACTATCTTTAGTAGTGAGAATGGGGCAGGAGAGTGCATAGGAAAGATCTGGGAGTCCCTGCAACACCAACCTCATCTCTCTACTGGGGATTCTTGGCTCCACTGTGCCACCTGCTGGTTCTTAACCTCCTTGCAGGTTCGTTTATCATGGCTTATATTGAAGTTGCATTGTCTTATTTTTTTTAATTTTTTTAATTCATTTTATGTACCAACCATAGATCCCCCCTTATCCCTCCTCCTGCTCCCGCAACCTTCCCCCTGGACTCACCCCTCATCCACTCCTCCAACAGGGTAGTTCTCCCATGGGGGACATCAAAAAGACTGATACATTCAGTTGAGCCAGGACGAAGCTCCTCTCTGCTTTACCAGGGTTGAACAAGGAGTCAGACCATAGGGAATGGGATCCACAAAGCCAGCTCATGCACCAGGGATAGATCCTGAACACACTGCTAGGGGCCCCTCAAACAGACCCAGCTACACAACTGTCTCCCATATGTAGAGGGTCTAGTCTTGTCCCATGCAGGTTCCACAGCTGTTGGCCTAAAGTCCATGAGTTCCTTTGACTTGGTTCAGTTGTCTCTGTAGATTTCCCCATTATGATCTTGACCCCCTCTCCTTGCTCATATAATCCCCTTCCCTCTCTTCAACTGGACCCCTGGAGCTCAGCCTGGAGCTTGGTTGTGGATTTCTGCATCTGCTTCCATGAGTTACTGGATAAAGGTACTATGATGAGTATTAGAATATTCACCAATCTGATTACCAGAATAGGCCAGTTCAGGCACCCTCACCACTATTTTTAGTAGTCTAATCTGGGGTCATCATTATGGATTCCAGGGAATTTCCCTAGCACTAGGTTTCTCCCTTATTCCATAATATCTCCCTCTATCAAGATATCTCTTTCATTGCTCTCCCACTCCATCCCTCCACCAGCTTGAACACCTCATTCCCTCATGTTCTCATTCCCCATCTCCTACCCTCTACTGTTCCCCCTCATCCCCAATTTACTCATCGAGATGTCCTCTGTTTTCTTTTCCCAATGTGATCCATGAATTCTTCTTAGGGTCCTCCTTGTTTCCTACCTTCTGTAGAGCAGTAGGTTGTAGTCTGATTATCCCAAGAAAGAAATCAGAGAAACATCATCTTTTACAATAACCACAAATAATATAAAATACCTTGTGGTATCTCTAACCAAACAAGTGAAGGACCTGTATGATAAGAACTTTACATCTTTAAAGAAAGCAATTGAAGAAGATATCAGATAATTGAAAAATCTCCCATGCTCATGGATAGGTAGAATCAACATAATAAAAATGGCATCTTACCAAAAGCAATCTACAGATTCAATGCAATCCCCATCAAAATCCCAACACAATTCTTAACAGATCTTGAAAGAACTATACTCAACTTCATACAGGAAAACAGAAAACTTAGGATATCTAAAAAAAATCCTGTACAATAAAGCAACTTCTGGAGGTATCACCATCCCTGACTTTAAGCTCTAGTACAGAGCTATAGTAATAAAACCAGCTTAGTATTAGCATAAAAACTATGGAATCGAATTGAAGACGCTGACATTAACCTACACACCTATGAACACCTGATTTTTGACAAAGAAGCTAAAACTGTACAATGGGAAAAAGAAAGCATCTTCAAAAAATGGTGGTGGCATAATTGAATGTCAACGTGTAGAAGATTGCAAATAGATCCATATCTATCGCCATGCATAAACCTCAAGACCAAGTGGATCAAAGACATCAATATAAAACCAGTCACACTGAACCTGATAGAAGAGAAAGGAGGAAGTAGTCATGAACACACTGGCATGGGAGACTATTTCTTAAATATAACACCAGTAGTATAGACACTGAGAGCAACAATTAATAAATAGGACCTCCTGAAACGGAGAAGCTTCTGTAAGGCAAAGGACACAGTAAATAAGACAAAACAACAGCTACAGAATGGGAAAAGATCTTCACCAACCTAACATCTCACAGAGGGCTGATCTCCAAAATATATAAAGAACTCAAGAAACTAGACATTAAAATAATGAACAATCCAATTTAAAAAAAAATGGGCTACAGAGCTAAACAGAGAATTCTCAACAGAAAAATGTCAAATGGTCAAAAGACATTTAAGGAATTGCTCAACATCTTTAGTCATCAGGGAAATGCAAATCAAAATGACTCTGAGAAACCATCTTACACCTGTCAGAATGGCATAATCAAAAACACTGAAGACAACTTATCTTGGAGAGGATGTGTAACAAGGGGAACACTCCTACACTGATGGTGGGAATGCAAACTTGTACAGCCACTTTGAAAATCAGTATGGTGGTTTCTCAGAAAATTGGGAATCAATCTTCCTCAAGACCCAGCTATACCTCTTTTGGGCTTATACCCAAGGAATGCTCAATCATACCACAAGAACACATGCTCACTATGTTCATAGCAGCATTATTTGTAATAACCAGAACCTGGAAGAAACCTAGATGCCCCTCAACTGAAGAATGGATTAAGAAAATGTGGTACATATACACAATGGAGTACTACTCAGCAGAGAAAAACAATGACATCATGAAATTTGCAGGCAAAAGGATGGAACTAGAAAATATCATCCTGAGTGAGGTAACCCGGACTCAGAAAGAAAAACATGGTATGTACTCACTCATAAGTGGATACTAGATGTAAAGCAAAGGGTAATCAGGCAACAACCCACAACTCCTAAGAAGCTACCTAACAGGGAAGACACAAAGAGGGACACATGGACTGCCCTGGGAAAGAGAAATAGATGAGATCTCCATGAGTAAAACGGGGATAAGGGGTGGCAATGTAGGGTAGGAGATGGGGGAGGAGAACAGTATGGTCGAGCTGGAATAGGGATGGATTGGGAAAGCTATGAAAGAGATGCCATGATAGAGGGAGATATCATGGGGATAGAGGAAACCAGGTGCTAGGGAAGTCCCCAGGAATCCCCAAGGATTGTCCCAGCTTAGACTACTAGAAATAGTGAAGAGGGTGCCAGACCTGAACTGGCTTACCTCAGTGATCAGATCAGTGAATACTCTAACTGTCATCACAGAAGTTTTCTCCAATGACTGATGGAAGCAGATGCAGAGATCCACAGCCAAACACCAGGCAGAGCTCCAAGAGTCCAGTCAAAGAGAGAGAAGAGGGATTCTGTTTGAAAACTTGTAGCCTTCTTCTATGTATGTGCACTTGATGTTTGTCCTTCCAACAAGGTTCCATGTAGTGACTAAACATACATGCAATATCACTTAACAAAGAATTTTTACTGTATTCACACTCAGAGTCTAGTCACAGTAGCTACTTCACGTGTACTATATGGTCTCTGAATTCATATGAGGTTAGGACAGGAAACCTTAGAGTCTCCTAGGACTCATTCCCTCTCCAGATGTTACCCTGCACCTGCTACATTTTCTGTCCTGGTGAAATTTGGATCTACAGCTCCCCCTGCTGGTCCTGAGCACACTCAAAGTGTGTTTGTTACTGAGCACACAGGGAATCTGCTCACTGTGTCTGCTGCACAGTAATGCAAGGCTGTGTCTTCAGTGGCAGTAGAGCTCAACTTCAGTGTGAACTGATTTTGAATGTGTTCAATGACATATTGATAGATTTTCAGAGATAGCTCCACACTTTCTACAGGCCTTTATCCTCTTTTCTCTCAGGACAGGCTCTTCCTGAAGGTTCACAGCCAGGAGAAGGCTCTCAGCTCCCAGTAGCCAGAAACCACAATTACCCAGCATAGGACCCAACCATCCTTTATTTTCTGATAGGAGACAAGGAATTATCTCAATTTTTTACATTTGTTGAGATTTAACTTGTGTTCTATGATGTGATAGATTTTGAGAAGTTTCCATATGAGAAAAAAGGTGTATCCCCTATATGTTAAGTGGAATATTCTCTATATGTCTATTAAGTCCAGTTTCTCCTTAGCACATTTCAGCTCTGAATTTTCTTATTTTTAGTTTGAAAGACATATCTAAATTTGAGAG